AAGAAAAAAAAATTTTAATACTATAAAAAATATATTATATTATTTAATTAAGTTATCTTGTAATCAAATTTTATTTTGTAATTCGAGCAGTTTGAAGGTAAAATTACAAATCAAACTAATTATATTGATTTTAAAATTTTATAATTCAAACCAACCCAATTTTATGTCGATTTGAATCACTTTTTTATTAGATTAGATCAATCAGATTAATCGGATATGAACGGATATAAAGACTCGTGTAAAGAAGTACCTTCAACCACTACCACCTATCAAAATAATGCTTATTTAGCTATATGTATCATGCAAGTAGAAAAAATATCAATACATACCATGAATTCTTGCACATGCTTTGTCATCATCCCAATCAAAAAAATGTGATGCACATGCACCCCGGCATGTAATAATGAAATTAAAGGTAATGTAAAGTCTCCGAAAATTATCCATGTGAGTTTAGGCTTGCAAACGTGTAGACCCAATATAAACATCAAGTCATGTTATATGATTTAGTACACCCCTTTAAATGTAGATCTTTGTCCTAAACTCTATAGTATGTAACTTTGATATCATGTAAAAATTATGCATATATGTTTTAATACAAAATTTGTATCTATCTTAAAATTAATTGATAATAAATAGAGTAGTTTTTTTTTTATATTTATCCCACATGTTTTTTTGTTGTATTCTCAATGTGATATTTTTCTACTAAACAAAGTCAATAAAGAACAAAAAATTTAACATGGTTTAGCTACTCACCATAAGTGACAACCTTTGTCCACATACAAAAGCTCTAAGAACTATTAATTGTATTCTTGACTTGACTTGTAAAATGATTACATATGACCTCAATTCTATATTGGATGTAAAAAACAAAATATGAAAAATAATAATAAGAAAGAAATCAGAGATTTATATAAGGATTCTAATTACATAAATTGATATTTGATTTAGATTTAAATTTTATCTTAATTATGTCAAATCTTTCCTTGATTGGCTCTATATAATTTTCTAACAAATACATGGAATACTTTCCAATTGTATGAAATTGCCATCAGCCCAAATTCTGCTTGTGGGGTGAAGGCATTGACTACATTACGTATTCACATTAAAGAATTATGCCTGCAATCACTACTCTTGATCGTCAGGTTATGATTATATTAAAGATATAATGCATGATAAACAAGTTGTTAATTGACTTGGGAAGAAGAAAAGGCAAAGAAATTAATTATCTACTTTTTGATAATGAAGCAACATATAAGGACAGCCTTGCAAACATCAGCCTCTTTCATTTCACAGATAATTAACACAGACAGGCGCGGTTTACTCAGGTCTCAACTCCTTTACCTTTAGAAAAAATAGAGACCCCAACTTCGCCAAAGATATCTTGTAGGACAGGTACATTGCAACAATTTCAAGCAAGAACAGATTAAAGTGAAAAAAATTGTTATTTTGGAAGAGAAGAAATAAAAGTAATTTTTTTTTTAGTGTAGAGTATAAAAATTGGTATTCAAGGAGAGTATACGGCACATATATGTTTAATTATTTAGGCACAATACAAAACTTGGGAATAATTTGAAAACTCATAATTTATAAGAGTCAAACTAATAATTTTAAGATTATAAGGTTTTAGTCTTTTATTGCTAAGCCAAAAACTGATTAGAGATGTAGTTTTGAGTTTAAACCACTATAACATTTAGTTAATATGTCAACTTAAAAAGTTTATTGATTTTCTCCTCCAATGAAAATAGAAGATTTGAATTTTCTATCTACTTAACCTTCCCAAAATCCAACTATAAAGCGGGTTGGAGTTGGATTTAGGTTTCTTGGGTTCTTTGCTTCCAACACGTTTGCATCCCTGGAATTCGAGAAATTTTGCCTAGGCTCTGTTTACATGTTTTCTGTTTTTCGGTATCTTATTGTTCCAAGATACCTTTGAGGAAAAGATAAAAGATTGCACATGCTTGGAACTACTCTTTCATTGCCAACAAAATTCAAATTCAAGCAAATCAACCATATGGCTGGACCATGGTGTAACTTCCCTTCATTTATCACTCATTGGTGGTTGTGTTTAGGTTGCATTTTTGTGAATAAATTTCTATACGACAATATAATGGTGTTATTTAATCCAGGTACTGTGTCTATTATAGCACAAAGGCAACTGCAGAACAATGATTTCAAAGAAGGAGGGGCAGTTAGCAAGGAGAAGACTGATCCTATTGTTACCTTTAGCAGACCTCCACCGCCCTCAACTTTTCTTGGGCTATTGGTTGCTCTGTCTCGGTTGGAAACATAGTCTAGTCGTGATAGTGATGACAACTGACTGGCGTGTTGATCCATTATTTCCGTTGAGGTTGGTCTTGATTATGTACATTTTTTGCGTCAAATGTTCCTCACTTGAAAAGGATCTTTCCGATAAAGACCAAAATTTTGAGGGCAAAGGCGAACAACAAAGCTGTTAATTCCCACACTTTAAGATAGCCTGCCAGTATTGGGTTGAAGATAGGTGCCAACAGTACAGCATAAATCTTCAATAAGAACTGCAATATAACTTGTGGACTCTTTAGGAACCCTGCAGGTTGGAACTTTGAGAATTAATAGTGTTTCTATATGGTAATTTAAGAAGTTGGTAATGTTCTGACTCTTATAATTAATATGTTAGTGAAAGTTAGACGTACATGCAGCAGCCTTTGGGAAGTCATCAAATACCATTGTCACATTCTTTAGCAAGACCTGAAATCCTCCACAGGTGAAACCCACATAAAAGATCAAAAGCAAGTAATCGATAGAGATGATCATGGTGTTTTATAGGAAAATTCTATAATGGTATTGTTCTGAAGCTGATTACCAGCACAATACCTCCTGGTTTGATTGGTGACTCGATCACAACCCTAGCTTTCCTGCATTTCAATCAAATATTTCAAGGACTGTTAGTTGAAACAGAGTCTTGTTTTCTTGATGAGAGAACATGCATTTGTGTTAAGTACTACTTTATTACTAATCTATCCCCTGCTTTTGAACATTCATAGAAGCTGCATCCCCTGGTGCAAGGGACCTCTGTTTCTTTCCATTCTGCAAAACAGAGAACACTCTTCCCTGGTTAGATCTCATCAATGCAATCTGTCACTTAGGGAGATAATATATGTTAGAGCTCGTAGTTACCCAAATGCCAGTTTACTCCTGCTGTGAAATTCTCTCCGTCACAAACATTCTCGACGCTGAATTTCACATTTGGACCCATGTTTCGTGTGAGCTGGTCGAAGAAGTACATAACCTCCTGCAGTAGAGTGTTTTAGTCCTTGTTAATGAGAAATAGATGTTGGAATGTTAACAGAGTAAAGAAACAAATACCTTTTTCCCGTTAAATGGGTCAAGAAAAGAGCACTCCTCAAAGAAGCAATCCTCCGAGATGTAACCTTCGAGTTGCTTCAAATTCTTCTCATTGATGCACGTATAAAAATGCTTGATTGTTTCAGAAGGAGAAGATGGACCAAACCCTAAATCATCATCCCCAATCGACGACATGATTGTAGAAGACCCACGTTTGCCGGTTAGTGTTTTGGGTGTTTTGATTTTCTGTCGTCCTATGCTTATGGCCTGCTGCTGCTGTATTCTTGTTCTCCACTGCTGAAATTGACATGAACTCCGAAAGGGGAAGGAGTTGTGGGGGAGGTCCACCACTGCTTTGAAGCAGACATGCTGCCTAGGGGCTTTCCCTAACAAATTGAGAGCACCAACCATTGCCTACGTACGAACAGATGAGATTGACTAGTTAGGTTGTTGAAACACGTACGTTTCTGGAGTAGGATCCATTACATTTATTACATATGCACAAAAGGAATAAAGTTAAAATGTCTTATGCCCAAATAACAAGAGAGGGATCATCACTAGCTCATTTGGGAGGGTTTTGTTTGCTTTTGTGTAACCTTGACATGAAATCAAAGAATCTAGGGATGAAGCTTTGTAAGCATATATCTTGTAAGAGCATATTGAAATGTGGTCTAATTTACTCAAAATCTAACTTAAAACTTAATTATTCCAAGGGATTCGAGTTATCTGTCAACGATCAAATGTTTCCTTTAGGAGTGGGGTAACATTGATTCTATCATAATACATGTGATTGTCCAACAACAGAGTTTAACATTAGGCTAACAATTAAAAGTAAAATTAAAATAAAAAAGTGTTACGTAATTTAAACTACACAACTTAAACTATTAGACGGAAAGCATGCTCATTCCCATGCTCTCTAATATTGAGGGTTGTTCTCCTTTCAATAATTTTTGTCTTATATCCAATGCAGTTCATATAGCAAAACACATAGAACTCAATCAAAAATAGCAAGATAACTTTGTTAGACATAGGAGCTGCATCACTGAGACAGGACTCCATGTAGGTGTAGGGGTTAGGAGGCATGCCAGCGCGGTTAGTTCGAAGCCAAAAGGCAGCATCTGGCCTAATAATTCTGTTGGAAGACATAGGTTTGTTCATGGGTTTAGGGCGGGAAAGCTTAGCCAACGCCTATTGTTGGGAAAAATAATCTATATATATATATAGGGTACAGGACTGCAGCACAGAAAAAAAAAAAAATCAAGTATCAATTTCTCCAAACAATGGATCTCTTTCTCACTCTTCTGTATACACAATGTTACTAGGGAATGAGCACTTGACCATGTGAGGAAGAATCAAGTGTGCATATTTTAAGGATGGCGGTTTGGCTTATAGGCTGTAGACACAACAATCTAAGATTTCCAAGGTCATCCTAAAGCACGGAGACACGTTAAAACATAATATTTAATATCAACCATGCTACCCAAATTGCATGTTAGATAACAAATCTGTTTGTCTGTCAAAATGATAGAACATAAATAAATTGAGATTAGCATCTCTTTTCTATATGAGTCCAACGTTCTTAACTATTTTTCTCTTTTATCCTCTAAAATATGCAGAAACCACTGCTACGATCTATAGCCATAGGCTCCCGGATTCCTCCTTTTGAAGCCGCACGAGTTTGTGATCAGATCAGGGGCACAAAACCATCATGCATATTAAACTATGCATGGTTTATTCACTGAATCATTCATCAAATAATTCTATGAATTAAAACTGTCTCAAGTTGGGCTAGAAGAATCATTTACAGGCTGACAAATTTGCTGGCATGTCTCCGAACTCCCACCTATTGTATAAGTCTATTTCATGGTGTTTCATCCCTCTCCTAGAAAATTATTTCCCCAGCAATGGACCAATAATGGTATTGCATTGAGATACCTCGATGCTATATAAACTCCAAATTAGAGCAATTCAATCATACATCTCTGTTTTTCTCAAACAACAAAAAGGCAGCAACTTGGCGCTGAGAAGGAAATATACCTCAGTCTTCTCCAGCATGAGCAATAAGGCGAGAGGTGTCCCTGCCAATGCAGTTGCCAGAGGTCCCAGGGGTACAAGACTCATTCCAAAGAGGGGCCAGATAAAGTCAAGGATAGCAGTTAATGCTTTTCATTCAATTGTTTCAGTGCTAGCTAGAGCTTCTTCACATCGCTATCATTCTCATAGGAGATCATACTTGATGGAGGACTAGAGCCATGAAATTTGATGAACATGTATGATTACTTAGTTTTTAGTGCACAGATTGATATTTCTTCTTCTTCTTCTTTTTTTTCCCTCTCTTTCTTGTTATCCATCTCATTTTTATGGGCAATTTTCAGTTTTAACAGTCTTTTCTCAAATAATTTCAACTCTCCACTTATCAAAAACCCAAAGTTCGTGAGGTCAAAGAAAACACCAAAAGAAAGAGCTTGCTTGCATGCCTTCCAAAGGTGACATTAGTCTTGAAAAAAATGAAATCTGCTAGTAATGTCCCATTGAACCTTGAGAAAGTGAATTAAACACCAAAGAGTCAAAAGGGAAAAAAGACAAGAAATGAGTATAAAGAACATAAACTCACATATGACTTTAAATCAACTCCTTGATATGGCATCAGAGGATCAGCAAATTTGTCAGACCATGCTGCAAGAGGCAAAACTATTAACAAACTTTCTTTATATATGAACGATGTATTAACAGACTGTTTTGACCTTATCTTATTCTCTACACATCAAAATAATAACTAAATTAAAAATTTTAAATTAACCAAAAACACAGTACAATTACATGTGAATCAATACAATATCAGGATTCTTTTATCTCAAGACAAAGTTGTGCACCACCTTAAGATATATGGAAAATTCTATAAGCATCTTGTGTGTTCGAATATTTTCATTTTTTCCAATCTGTAATCTCAATAAACATGTGACTACTACTAAAAGCAGCACCCACGCTGTGCTGCAATACAAACCTAAAAGAATTCTAGTGCTTCATCAACCACAGTACAATTCACAAAGTGCCATCCTTTTCCATTTCTTGTGAAGCTTGCATTTCTTTATATACTTTTGCTAGCGCCATATATATGTGTTTCATGTCAGGATGTGACCTGTCATGTGCAAAAAAGCAATGCATAGCTCCTCTTATTTGAATCCAACTAGACCCAGGTTCCTTGCAGATCTGTTTTTCCTTCATTTCGCTTCTCAGTTGCCGAACATCATTCCACATACCCGCAGATGCACAAAGATTTGAAAGAAGAACATAAGCAGATTCATTATTAGGCTGTAGCTCAAGAAGCTTGCTTGCTGCTACCCTCCCAATGTCAACATTTCCATAGATGCTGCATGCAGATAGAAGAATCTGCCATAAATGAGCATCAGGCTGAATAGGCATTTGATCTATGGTCCTCTTTGCATCTTCCACGAGTCCTGCTCGGCCAAGAAGATCAATAATGCAAGCATAATGCTCCAAATGTGGGGTTAGACCATGAAGATCAATCATACAGTAAATATAATTTTGCGCTTCTTGCAGTAGCCCAGCATGGCAACATGAAGTAAGAACCCCAAGATAAGTTATCTCATCTGGCTCAATTTCATATTCAGTCATCTTATTATAAAGATCAAAAACTCCATTATAACACCCATGTTGAGCATATCCTGTTATCATCGCATTCCAAGCAGCTAAGTTCCTAGATGCATATGTGAAAGCTTTCTCCGCATCAACCATACACCCACACTTACAGTACACGTCAATAACAGCAGTCTCAACAAAGCAATCCTGATGAAACCCAAGTTTGATTGCCAGGGACTGAATTGCTCTCGCTTGTTCCACATCACTAATGGCAGCACAAGCTTTAAGGGCAATGGTGAAAGTTGCAGCATCTATTTCAAGATTTGAATTCCTTGCACTGCAGAACAAATCCAGAGCATCAGCATAACAACTGGCATGAACAAAGGCACTTGCCATTGCATTAAGAGGTACAGAATTTATCTTACTAATCTCAGAAAAAACGCTTTTTGATTCATCAATTCCACTGCATCTTGCATATGATGTTACCAACAAAGACATTGTGGAATTGTCCAACATGAATCCACATTTAATCATATATGAATGTATTTGCATTGCCAGCTCTAAAGAATTTGAGTCAGACACCGCTTCAAGAATACTAGCTATGGTATAGTTATTAGGTATGGCAGAAAAATCACGCATCTTAGAGAACATCTCAAATGTCTCACAAACTAACCCATGGTCTGAATATCCAGAAATTATTGAATTCCAAGAGACAGAATCCCAATCAATCATATCCTCAAAAACACATCTCACATCCTTCATTTGCCCACATTTAGCATACATAGATATCAAGGCATTACTAACAGATATCACTTGCAATAACCCTTCCTTGTGACAAACTGCTTGAATCTGCTTGCCTGACTTCAACATTTCCTCCCCTTCAATTTTAGATAAACTATTGATCATCGTATACTCATTTGCCTCCAAACCTGTACAGCGCAAACAATTAAATGATTCCAGTGCCACCATAACGTCATAAGCAGCCCCTATCCTTTCGGTCCAGGAGACAATATCTGGCTCAGCAATTTCATCGAACATCTTCAAGGCATCCGCTTTACTTCCACATCTAGAATACATACTCATAACCGCATTATTCAAATGTATTGAACATCCACATAATAAACCCATCTTAACACCAAGTCCATGGATTTGTTCCCCTTCTCTTAAATCAAACAGTGCACCAATCACGCCAGTCAAGCTCAACTCGTTTAATTCCAAGCCCAAGTGCCTCATCTTCATAAAAACCTCCTTGGCCTTCACAAATTCCTCATTCCACACATAACCACAGATCATCGACGTGCAAACAACATGATCAACATCCAAACACTCATCAAAGCACTTCTCAGCAGACTCCAAATCCCCACTTTTTGCGTAATTCTCTATCAACCCACTAACCACAAATGCCCCATATCCAAACCCGAGTCTCAAACAAACCCCATGAGCAACCCCATTTTCCTCAAAACTCTCAGAACCCTTAACCAAAGAACTCGAAGTGAATACATCGGGTCTCAAACCCGAAAGCCTCAATTCATCAAACAACCAAAAAACATGCCCGGGCTGTCGAAAACGGGCGAACCCAGAAATAAGGGCATTGAAGGTGACAGTGTCGGGATTCGGAGTATCGAACAGAAAGGGTACAGCACGCGAGAAGTCGCCGAGTCTGGAGAAGTGGGAGATGAGTGCGGTGGAGAGGAAGGGGTGGAGAGAATGGCCGGATTTGATGAAGAGAGAGTAGATTTGGTCTGTAAGGAGTGGAGAGTGAGAAGAGACGGAAGCTCTGAGGGATTGGAGGTAAAGCTTGTCGGCGATTAGAATTCCGATAGATTGTTTCCGGAGGAATAGTCTCTTCATTCATGACCGTTGGGACGGGTTTTGCCGGGGTTTTGCCGGGGTTTATGTTTATGATGAGGTTTTCGTTTTCGTTTACTCCACAAAGAAACCCCTTTACTTGAAAAAAATTTAAAAAATTGATACTTACGGAAAGAAAAGAAATCCTCAATAATTTTTATTTTAAAAAAAGTTAAAATCAATTTTCGGTTTTTTATTTTAATAAAAATATTTTTTTACTCTTTAAAATTCTTTTTGGCTTTATTTTACTTTCTCCGTTTTTTTTCTATATATATATATA